AAGAGGCCCAATGGGCCTGAATCGCTCACCTGGTATTAATCTCACACTTGTAATCTTAAACGTGGACTAAAATACAGCTAGAGGCAGAATAACAGTGTTTGATTCATAATAACCTATTAAAAGATTTAAACATATGACGACTGTTACCTTGAATGTCGAATAAGGACATTAGGTTGAAGGTCATTCATTTTAACAAACTTGGTAGCCCTTCATCCCAGCCTGTTAATGGCCAAATATCATCATCCTTGGCATTTGCTAATTGAGAAGTCGTTCACAGTTTTTTTAACATATTTGACCCCTGTGACCTTGGATATATACTTCGAAGTCATTCATTTGAACAAACTCGGTAGCCCTTCATCCTAGCATGCTACTTGCCAAATATAAGAACCCTAAGCCTCTTGGTTATTAAGAAGAAGTTGTATAAACGTTTCAAACATATTTGACCCCTGTGACTTTGAAAATAGGTAAAGGTCATTTATTTGAACAAACTTGGTAGCCCTTCATCCTAGCATGTTACTGGTCAAATATCATTATCCTAGGCCCCTTGGTTATTCAGAAAAAGTTGTTTAAAGGTTTTAAACATATTTGACCCCTGTGACCTTAAATATTTGTCAAATGCATTCATTTGAATAAAATTGGTAGCCCTTTATCACAGCATGCTACTGGCCAACTATCATTATCCTAGAACTTGTGGTTATTGAGAAGAAGTTGTTTAAATGTTTTAAAGATATTTCATCATTGTGACCTTGAATATCAGTCAAGGTGATTCAATTGAACAAACTTGGTAGCCCTTCATCACATCATGCTACTGGCCAAATAGCATCATCCTAGGCCTTTTGGTTATTGAGAAGAAGTTTAAAGGATTTTAACATATTTGACCCCTGTTACCTTGAATATAAGTACAGTCATTCATTTGAACAAACTCGGTAGCCCTTCATCTTAGCATGTTACTTGCCAAATATCATTATCCTAGGCCTCTTAGTTATTCAGAAGAAGTTGTATAGAGATTTTTTAAGACAATTGACCCCTGTGGCCTTGAAAATGGATGAAGGTCATTCATTTGAACAAACTTGGTAGCCCTTCATCCAAGCATGTTACTGGTCAAAATTCATTATCCTAGGCCACTTAGTTATTTAGAAGAAGATGTTTAAACATTTTTTAAGACAATTGACCCCTGTGACCTTGAAAATGGACAAGGTCATTCATTTGAACAAACTTCGTAGCCCTTCATCCAAGAATGCTACTAGCCAAATATCATAACCCTAGGCCTCGTTAGTTATTCAGATGAAGTTGTTTAAAGGTTTTAAACATATTTGACCCCTGTGACCTTGAATATAAGTCAAGGTCATTCAATTGAACAAACTTGGTAGCCCTTCATCACATCATGCTACCGGCCAAATAGCATTATCCTAGGCCTTTTGGTTATTGAGGAGAAGTTGTTTAAAAGTTTTAAAGATATTTCATCATTGTGACCTTGAATATCAGTCAAGGTGATTCAATTGAACAAACTTGGTAGCCCTTCATCACATCATGCTACTGGCCAAATAGCATCATCCTAGGCCTTTTGGTTATTGAGAAGAAGTTGTTTAAAGGTTTTTAACATATTTCAAAATGTGTAGCTGACAGTTCGATTTTTAGGTTATTTACTATTATTGTATCAGAAGGAATAAACATCACAGAAAATGTATTTAAAATCTCAATACTTAAATGCAATGTTATTCCTGTTATTCCTTCGTAAAATGAAGAAGTGTGTGGGAACAAAAGAATTACCGCTCATAACTCCAAGTTTATAACAGGAAGTCATTTGTCCCCTTGCATTCTGTTTTATTATACCTATTTTTGCCTAAAGTGAAAAAAATATAAAGCATACCAGTACGTTCTTTATAATACCATGAAAAATCTGTACCATGCTTCACTATTAATAACCTTTTCCGAACTATAAAAATCAAATATTAAACGCTTAAATTTCTGAGTGTGTGAGTACGCAACTTAATACTCACCTCCGTAATATATATCCAAATATAAGAATGATATAAACTGGCAAGAGCAAAACAGGTTGTATATATAAACAATGTGCTATGAGCAATTTTCTTAACCAAATCAAACTTTAAGCATAGCAGAGACCATGCTGATGTACAAAATATCATAAAACTTTGAACTACACACTAGTCATATATCCTCATCAATAATTTTACAAGATAAGATTTAAACGTTAATAATCTAATCTAACAGATATATCCTCAATACAGCACATAGCTTCCCTGTTATCAATGTATAATACCCATTACATCCAATATGTTATGAATACATTTTTTAACACCTAGCAGAGCTGTGAATGACTGTATGCTCCCATTGTTTCAATTGTGACATCACAACTACAAACCGTCACAGACTTCAACTGCATGGCAATGTCACACAATGAAAAAATCTTTAAGGCAAATTTATATCAAATTTACGATTTCAAGTTTGGCTGGGTAAATGTTTTCACAAATATTCTGCAACATATCTTTGGTATGTAACGGACAAAATCTTACTTGATCATCACAAATTCATGACTTTTGAGATGGAAATTAATATAAGATCATCTATTTTACATAACAAGACATAGAATTTACCTGAACTACAAACAGAGATATTCATATTTACAAAATAAGACAAATTAAACCTTATTTACACATAGAGATATCCTGTTTTACACAATAAAACATCAATTTTCAGGTCTTTCAGTAGGCCATTTGGAGTATGGCTTTGACCCAACAAATTAGCTTCGACTCCTAGGCTGAAAGATCGTGTCTGTTTGACATGTATCTTGATCGTCTAACTTAAAGAAAAAAGGTTGACAACTTAAAATGCTAAATGGGAAAGTCAACTGAAGACCTCAACATTTTTTACCTAATGTATCTCCATTTATACAATAATTATTTCAAACCCACCATCAATTATAAATGCTCCCAATAAAATGACCTGTTAGTGTTACTGGATTTCACATCATTGCAGACCAAACACAGTTTATTTCTAATCTAAAACGGGTACATGTGTACTTGAATGGAAAGTATATTGCTATTTTTGTTGATTTCTAAATCATTGCACTCACCTGAGTTATAAAATTATTATGAAGTAAAAATGCAAATAAAGTATAGGATTACATAAAAGACAGTTGGAAAACAATTGTGTTTAATATTGTGGTAATTTTTTGAAGATATTCATTGTTTGGAAATATGAACATATTTTATGTACCAGGTAATTTTTGATGAGAAGTTTTTGCCTTAAAGATTAAAGTTCGTTTAGAGTATATCTACCATCTAGTGACATACTAACTTATGTACAGTGGGCAGTGAAAGCTAGAATTTCAAAATTTGCATTTGTGAATATACAACATACAAATGAACTACCTAATGTATACATCTATATCTTTCTTGATTTACATTGGTTCTCAAAATGAGATTATCATGTTTTATGGAACAAAAATATGCAGATTGTATAGATATAGCTACATATATTCAAATGTCAACATACAGTATTCAATATGAAATTACATGCAGGTTAGTCATGTAACATGTTCGGTAATGTTTTCAGAGTAATATTTCAAAATAAAGCTAAAATCATATTCTGGAAGAGCTTTCTTTGGATGATGGCCCTTGAATATCTGAAATATCAACGCATTACCAATGCTACAAACAAATGTTGCTGAAACTAATAAGCAAATTTCGGATATTTAAGGATGTCTCCTTAAAGCAAGCAAAATATTATTTAAGGTAAATGCAAAGAGACAGATACGCCTTATTGATCAATGTCTTTTGAACAGTTCCTCAAACTTGTATTTACAAGTATTCTTATTTTCATTTTTATTCAATTATTTTGAGTAGTTACTCCAAATTGAATGCAATTTTGTCGATGGATCATGGAAAAAATATTGAACTGAGATTAAAATAAACAAGAGGCCCAAGGGCNGTTATTTTGAGTAGTTACTCTAAATTGAATGCAATTTTGTCGATGGATCATGGACAAAATAATGAACTGAGATTAAAATAAACAAGAGGCCCAAGGGCCTTAGCGGTCACCTGAGTTATATCATAGGTACTGGTAGCTTTATTTTATTGTTTAGATGTGATGTGGAAATCAGCATGTAAACTAAGTGATATACAATACTTGTCATGTCATCAAAGGATAAGAATTTGAAAATATTGGTAAAGGTTCCCTTTGGGGCCCCGCCCTAGCCCCTGGGGATGAATCCCAATTTTACAAAGTTATACTCTCATTCACCAAAGATGATTCTGACTATAAGTTTGAGTAATTTTTTGCTGAAAATGGATAAAATATATACCCAAAAGTGTTACTTCCCTATATAAACTATAGTAAACTTTACACCCTCCCCAATGGAGAACGGATAGCTCGGGGGTTCTGAAATTTACGATTTAAATAAAGCCCCTGATGATTTTCTTTCCATGCAGAGAAAATGAATGTAGTACCTCTGAGTCTGGAGGATAAAAAATTGAAAATATTGGTTAATTTTCCCTTTGGGGCCCGCCCTGGCCCCAGGGGTTGGGGTAGGAATCTCAATTTTACAATTGTGTAGCCTCATCTACCAAGGATGATTCTGACCAAGTTTTAAAAAAGTCCATCCACTGGTTCTTGAGAAGAAGTGGAAAATGTAAAAAGTTTACGCACGACGCACGACGGACGACGACGGACGGAAAGCGATTAGAATAGGTCACTTGAGCAAAGACCAGGTGACCTAAAAATCTTTATATAAAACAAAAGTCAAAAGGACATCATCCGATTATAGGGTTTAGAAGTAACATGTTAATTCAATGTTGATCATTCCACCTATCAAACGGTTTTATAACTGAGGTTATCTCCCTTGACAAACATCATAAACAGATTTCAGATTTTGTTTGCATTTAGATGTTGCTGACTGCAAACCATTGACACAAGGTATCAATATGTATAATATTTTAGTAGGAATGTGTAAGATGAAAGATCTTGACTGTTTCTTTCAGGTTTCATGATCCCTGTGCTGGCTGTTTCCCAGTTATACCAGATCCATAACAGTTCCTCACTTGGTCACTTCTCCACGAACATTGTGCTAGCGGCTTCAGAAATTACACTGGTTCCAAGATGTTCATCAAGTTTTTTTCATACAGAGCGATGATGAGCATAATGGTTGCCCCTAGGATCATGCCGCCTAACTGGATGAGAAGGTGGGAAAATGGATGTTCACCTTGTCGCGTGTCCACTGCGGTTAACTCGGGCAACTACGGAAATAAACAAACAACATCTACTTTAACACCTAAGCTTGGTATTATCACTTTTTTTTTGTTTATCAAATAACAGTAGAAAACAGTAAAATTGTTCTGAATAACCCATTTACAATGCATGGCGTACAGCCTTGTCAAACATGATACCATTGAAATATGGTGCAAAGCAGTTTTGATGCTGTAATATGTTCGTCGTTGTACTTTAAGAAAAGAAAAATGATTTTCTAATTCAATGCAATATGCATTTCACTTGTACGGCAAAATATATCAATGTCTTTTCAATATTTCTACAGATGACTCACCATATCAACGAGTGCTATGTACAGGAACATGCCCGCCACCGACACGAACACCCAGGTAATGGAGTCCCCAAAATTTCCAACAGCAACACCAATTATCATGCCAACCAATGCGAGGATGGAGGACACACAGTTATACATGACCGCCTGTTTCACCGTCATTCCTGCCCTCAGCAACACAGCAAAATCACCTTGAAACAAAATACACAAGAAAAGTAAGGATCCATAACATTATATAAACATGTCCTAAGTTCACGCTATGTTCAACAGAAAAGAATTATTTCCATAGAAATAAATGTAACATATTATTGATATTATTTTGATACAATTCACGTCTCCAACGCACAATACTTTTATATTTTGTAAAATTACCAAATACTTAGTAAGTCAGGTTTTCCTTGACGTAATTTTTGTTCTGAGGTTTTGATTTCTGTAACTTTAAACTGCACATTTTTTTGGAAACTGGTTATTGGAAACCTGTTTGAAAAGATTATATTAAATATCTAACCTTCAACACATACAACTATGAAAAATAAATTAAGTACTGTAGACACTACCAATCTGTCAAATTCTAAGACGGTTCAAGGCAGAGATATTTTAACAGAAAATATGGAACGTACCAATTTCATGAGGTAGCTCATGGCAGAAAACGGCCACAGATGTACTGAAGCCACCAGTTATGGAGTTTGAGAAGGCTGCGCCGATCGCCAACCCGTCACAGAAGTTGTGGATTCCATCTCCAAGAATGACCATCCATGCAATGGACGCCACAGAAGTTGGCAGTATGTGGGAGTGTCCATGATGATGATGGGAATGGCTGAGCACGGAACTGGGGTTCTCCTGATCAACCATGTCAAACTGTTTGTCCTTGTCATTGTGGTCCTCATGGTCACGTGAACAATTCTTATGGGATGACTCTGCGAAGTTGGTGAGGGCTAAAAACAGAATAAAACATATTTTCACCATGTATCATTAGATTTTATCTGAGCAATATCATAAAAAAATTGCTGTTGGTAAACTCACATCTGTTGGTAGGCATGGCTTTTATATTTCTAATAAAAATCAGTTGTCAGCTTCAGAGCAAATTTATTTTCGGCTGCCAACACATCTTTTTCTGCTATAATGTTTTCTCTACAATCAATATTTACTTTGTGATATTTTAAATAGAAAATGGCTCAACATCTGAAATACTCATCTGACTAATGAATCTACCAGATACATACTGTATGTTTAAGCAGTAAGCCATTTTAATGCCAACTTATTAATAATTATTACCTTTTTGTCCTGGATGGATGCCCATGATCTGCTCCTTACAGTCAGGGTCAGTGACATGCATGGCACCACACTCTGTCAGTGGAATGCTTGTATTGTCATCAGCTAAATCCCCGGACTCCCTCACAAACACAGACCCTTTCTGAAATGATATGCAATGTTGTCTACAATAAGAATTCAACAACTATTAAACATACAGATATACAACTTTTCCATCTTTACATCAAAAAATATTTAAACCAAATAGCTAAGGCCTAAAAAAATACGTCTTTCCGCTAACCCGACCGACCCAATATTTTTGCGCCTACCCTGAAGATTTTTTGGCCATTTTCAAGGAAAGACTATTAAAGTCAGGTTTCTATCTCTATATAGCCTTAGTAAAAACTATTTAAAAAATAAAAAGAATTTCCGACCGACCTACCCTATTTTTTTCTGGCATGTTAGCGGAAACACGGGTATTATTTTTTAGGCCTAAGTCTCTGTAAGGAACTGTACAATGAAGATTACAACTCATATAATCAATGCAATTTGTTAATTTCACAACTCATCTATCTTATTACGCACCAGGTACTTGTCTCTTGTCTAATGTCACTTGGATAAATACCTCAACATGTGTGTCTTGATGTGTGTTGGTGGGTTGGGGGGGATGTCAATTCAATTAATTGTTGTGATATTCCATTAAATGTTTTGGAGTGTAATTAATATATATTGTGATAATATTGACCATGTTACCTAGACATTTGACCCTAGGAATGAAAGAAACGGTTAGTAAAATCTTTATATTTCCAACATCTACACAGTGTTATTGAACTTCCTTCTAACTATCCCACACAGATATTCTGAAATAATTAGAAAACAAATAATGGTGTCCACTACTGACCTTCTGGTGCTTGCGTTTGAGGTCTGTGACAATAGACAGCACCCTCTCCATGGTGAAGAAGAGGAAAATAGCACCCATTCCGCACAGACCCTTCAGGACAGCTGTCTTGTGGCTGTTATCTGCCTCACTGTTACCATGACTACTGTGGTCATGACCACCCTGCAGTGCCTATATTGATATAAAATAATACATGATGAGTACAGTGGGCCATGTAAACTGGCATTATTGATGATGCATCTGTGTTTTAAAGAGCAATATATGATAGGACCAAACAAACAAAAATTAATAATGATGTTTTTTTCCTGTTACAAGTCTGTAGAAATCTAGGGTAGGTTGCTAACAGTAGGCATTCAATTTATTTTTCAAACTTTTTATCAAGATTATATATATATATATATATATATATATATTGATCTTGACTTTAACAGTCCTTCCTTGGAAATTGCTAATTTTTTTAGTGAAGGCACAAAAACTTGGGGTTGGTAGCAAGGTAAACAGCCATAAACATTACTTAACAATATACATACATTGTATATATATTTACAAGTATCTTTACTGATTCATGACTCTTGGGTTTTTTGTATGCATTTATTTTGGAATCTGTTTAACGTAACTCTATATCCTTCAAAACCAGTAACATACAGTTTCATTGTACAATTAACAGTATTGTGTAGGCATGTGAACAGAGCAGATATCTTCCTCTTCCTATATGATAAGTTCCACAGGAGATTCAGTCCCAACAGCAGAAAAACTAACCCCATATACCCAATACATAATTTAGAGGCCCATAGCTAGGGTTACTTGATTATATATTTATATTATTACTTACATGTGGTAGGAGATGTAATAAGGCGTCCCCCGCTAGGGCCCCCACAGCCAGAGCCACTAGGAACAGGAGCAGGTGGTTGTAAAAGACTTTCTGCATGATAGGGACAACGGCTACACCAAGAAGCCCAACCAAACTGATGACCACAACAGCAATGGTTGAATATCCCCACACTAAAAGGCAGAAAGAGAAAACTACTTTAATTTTTTTTTTCACACAGTATATACTATGAAAATGTAATTCAAAAAAATGAAATCATACAAGCTATCAATGCTTTTTTGCAAAATGTACAAATTAAAAAAATAATCTCAAATGTAAAACTTACACTGGACCTAAACTAAACATGAGCTACTGTGCAGTAATAATGTGAGACAGCTTTATATTATGATTTCATAAAAACCTTTAGAAATATGCTAAGGATCTTTCCACAGACAGGGGAGATAACCTCAGATTACTTCACTTATCAAGTACATGATTATTTTTCCTTCTAAATGACCTTTAATTATAAACATTCAACTTCACTTATTGTTTAAAAACTTTGTCCCCTACTCAACGGCACATACCAACATAAGGACACTACTTCCAGCTGTACTATTTGGTTCAACCCTTTCTGGCAATTATATAAGACATAAATAATACAAACACACCTTCTGCTGGTATATCTTTGAAAGCGATATTGATAGCCTGTTTGACTGGGTGGGCTTGATGGTCAGTGACCTTTTTCCTACACTCGGCCCGGGAGAGTGTGAACAGTATCCCTGGACACATCTGTAGTAACCGGTTAGTTGTCACTGTCTCATCCCGGTGAATGTGAAACCGGCTGATCAGGTCATCACACTGGAAAAAAAATCATCACACTGTAAAGGACAAATTATTAAAAGAACATACAAATAATCACATAAACAAAAAAATAACAAAATTGATTGTTTTTGTTTGAATTGTATAAGCATTTTTAAAAATTACCCACATAACATATACATTTATTCACATCAAATAAAATTAAAATACACCCTTCTCATCTTAATTCAATTTGTGTCTCTAATGAAAAGTCTTGGTTATTACTATATATTTAAAGTGTGTGTTTGTTTGTTTATCATTTACATTAATGGCACAGCATCCTGATAAGATCATTTGGGGTCTTTGCATTGTAAAACGGTAATGCATTTAGTGAGCAAAGGTGACAAGTTAAAAATAAAATAAAAAAGAATATGATAAAAAGAATATCATTGATATAGTATTACAGTAATTTACCTTTTTATTATTTGCCTGAGATTCAACACCTCCCTCTAAGTGATTGTGAGAGTCCTCCGATTCATTTTGTATCTTCCTTTTTTGCCTCCTCACAAGACTGCTTGAGCGACGTCTACGTACATCATGATCAGAGTTATTTGAAAGTTTATGACTACTTACACTTGTATTATTAGAATGTGTATGGTGATGATCTTGATGGTCATCATGATTTTCATGATCCGAGTCATGATCATGATTTTTATGATCCGAGTCATGATCATGATTTTCATGATCTGAGCCATCATGATGATGATCTTTGTGGTCTGTTTCTGTATTATGTTTTTCGTGATCTGAGTCATGAATATGCTCTGAATGATCTGCATCATGACTATGTCCGGCATGACTATCAGGTACTTGATGAGAGTGTTCAGTATGGGAGTGGTTTGCTGGTACTTTAAGATTTATCCCCAGGCTCTCCAACATATGTATAATACTGTCATAGTTTAATACACCATCACTACCGAATCTATTAATCAAATATGTAACATAAAGGTTTTGCGCATTTAATAACTCATCTTCGAGGTTGGTCTCTTTAGAAGTTTCCTCATGGTCGTAATGATCGTGATCTTCGAGGTTGGTCTCTTTAGACAATTCCTCATGGTCGTGATGATCGTGATCTGAAGAGGTATCATTAGGCATCCCATGTTGATGTGTTTCAGAAGAAATGGTAGGTTGTGAGGCAGAGGTTTGGAGTTTTGTTAGCGTGGCCGATAGTCGGGAGACAGGTGAGGGTGTGTAGCGTGAGACAGATGAAACAGAACTTAGAACTATGTGTGAAACACATATTGTTGGTTCAGTCGACTCTTCTGGTCAGTTTTTCTTGTAAGGTCAGTCTATCAATCTGCAAAAACAATTTAGTGTAATTGAGGTTTATTCACATTGTAAACGAAATGTATCATCATCGTTTTTTTATTATATTTTTTCCTCCTTCAAATTTGCAACATCATGGGGGCCGTCACCGGACTGGGTCACAGTTTCAAGACCTATGTGGGGCAGTCGCCAGGTACTGGCCGTTGGTCAGTGGGTTTTCTCCAGGAACTCCAGCTTTCCTCCACCACCAAAACCTAGCTGCACACCCTTAAATGACCATAGCTGTTAATAGGACTTAAAACACGAACAAATCAAATGCAACATCTAAAATTATTTGAGCTTATCCCTATTTTATTACTTGAGTCAAAGGAAAACGAACCTTGTGAGGTCCAAATATTAATGATAACAATTATCCGAGTACTCCAATAGCTGAAATATTGAATTTTAGTTTCCTAGGGAATGACGTTATATTTTAAACTAAATTAAAAAATAGTGGCTGACAGGGGCACTTACATATCAAGACAACAAAATAACATCTATATTGTGGTAGTAGTGCATGCTCAAAGGCACAATAATTGTCGGACACAATTTCCATGTTTATCAGGGTTAATATTTTTGATTGAGTGTGCTCAAAATGGAAAGTGTGTAGTGTATTTACCTCCTTGGTAAAATATTCAAACCTGATTAGAATATGACATCTGTTGAGTTTCTTTCAGATGAAATTATTTGACAACCTGAAAGTGTTCAATTTGGAAATAAAGATACAAAAAATAATAGCAAATTGCCAATAACCAGTTCTAAAGATTCTCAATTCGCTTGATTCTATTTTTTGTTTACGGTTTAAATTCTTTTTCTTTTATAATTTCTTAAGTTCTGTATTATTTTGAATTTTGTTTTTGCTCCTCATTATCCTTGTACATATTGGAGTATGATGCAGGATATTTTGTCCTGCAATGCACTATAAGCATCGTTTGGTAATTTACATAAAATTGTATCTTTGGGAGTTTGTTAATTTCCCCTTTATTAAGGATGTACACCTCTGAGAAGTCAAACATTTCCTGTATTAAACTTTTTTTCTGATATACATTTTTGGAAACAGGAGTTAATGACAAAGAGGAAAATGCAAAAAAAATATATGTCGGTGTGTTCGTTTTTGTGCTATGATCGGTCAAAGATACCAATTTAAGACAACATGTGATTTAAGGTGATTTTTTGGGTTTTGACCATTTGCGGAACAAATTCATACAATTTCTTCCAAGTATGTTATCAGATATGTATGAATGTTTGTAGAATTGACAATAATATTATTTTCTTTTAGATTATGGAAGTAAAACTTCTTAAGGGGAGGGGTGCTTCTTTTTTTGTCCCATTATCATTTGTGTTATATTTTTTACCTTTTTCGGGGTCAAAAATCAAAAGTACTTCAGTTACACTAAATATGTAAAAAATATCAATAATGTATAATTTTCCAGTTTGTTGACTATTATTTTTATCATATTAAAAATTATAAAGTGGAAGAGCAAAATTGAACCTGCTATAATTAAAAATGGCGACACAATGACAACTTAAGTGATCAATCTAGTGTCAAAAAGGTGAAATTTTTGCCTTTTTTGAAGCTTAAGAAATACACATTAATACACATTTTCAAAATGGCCGCCGAATTGGTATTTTTTTAAAATTCTTGTAAAAGAAGTTCTACAAACAACAGACATATAGTTTTTTGACATATTTTTCAGATGCGTGTTTGCTAGTAAACTTGATCATAATTTGTTAAATTTTACAAAAACCCATTACACCAGAAACCTCAGAAGAGTACATCCTTAAGGCAGAATATTATACATTTATGACGATGGAAACGTACCTTGAAAGTTTGAAAACAGTGTATGGTTTCCCTTTCTAAACACACACCAACCATATCATTTTCTGTCTTATATTATTAATATAATATCTGTGCTATTTCACCACGTGATTGGATTGATCTCACTTAAATTATTATGATAATTTAAAAAAAAAAATCAAATAATAAATTGAATCTAAAGCACAAATATAGATAGTTTGTTCTTATATATTTTGTACCAAAGGATATTTAAGAAACTGATTAGTGTAGGAACTGGCGTCCTGCAGTCTCTAAACGAGCTATCATTCACATGAAACAGCACCACGAGACGGGCACCTAGCTAGGCCTGCTCCGAATATATCGATCGCGCCAGCTGCCGATCTACCGCATGACACACCTTACACAAAGGTGTATGCACATAATTTGATCAATTTCTGCAATACTTTAAACTGATATTCATCCTAAAGTTGGTAAATGTTATGTTTTCAACTCAAACATTATTTTTATACCGACTAGCTTTCCCATTTAGTCCAATATTTACCTTTAGTGGCAATTTTGAAGTGTCGTGTGCACAGGCTGAAAACGTGATTCAAATGGCTGCCCGATTCACGTATCTAATAGTCATTCGGAACGTTCTAGTGTTTTCTGAAAGCTATATGACTCATCAAAATGCTATCCGAATGTTTTAACTTGGGGAATCTTAAGTCCGATAAACGGGAGCTGTGTAAAACTAGCTTTGCGTACGGAAATTTTCGTATTTTTCAACAGGAAGTATAACTAACACCAATATAAAATATCATCAATAAGTTTAGTTTATATTTAAATATTAATTATTATATTTACGCAAATTTTTTAAAAGATTGGTATTAGGAAGCACACATTAATATATGGAATAATCCCAAGTTATAAACTTTTCCGAAAGAAACTCGAGTGTTCCGACAATTTAGTTTTGTTGGCCTAAAAGATAAAGGTTGAGAAATAGTTCTCATTGGTGAGAATCACTGTCATTTATTAATCTGTTGCACGTCATTTTCAACCAGAATGAGACAAATGAAAGTAGTTTGATGACGATCCAGTTAAGTGCAGCTGTAATGATGCCAAACTCGGTAAGAGCGCATAACTAATGTCATCATAATCAGTCGCCACATACTCAAATATAAAGTGAGATTTTAAAATTCATCTTGATTTATGTTATTTTTCGTACACAGCCTCGTTGAGGAATTCTACTTTGGTTTGATTTGGAGGGGGGGGGGGGGTGTTATTTGTTTTATATTATTAATGAGGAGGTCTTGGTTTCTTTGACCTGTGTTTACCTCAGGTATGCTGTTTTTACAGCAAATTTGAGGTAAATATATACAGATAGTTGATGTCAGAAAGCTGAGTTAGTTGATTCAACATTTATCATTCACATCACTTGTCTTGTTTGTTGTAAGCAAATTGTATTGATGTCTGCTGATTATCCTGTGTTATTAATTCATGGTTTAAAGTTTGTGCTCAAGTATTTTGTGAGTTAACAGGTAAAGGACATGTACAACTGTTCAGTGTTCCTCCAAACCAATCAAACCCTCACCCACCCCAAGTAGTTTGTTTAGATTGTGTCCCATTTTTCAAAGACTGTTAATTTAGACCTGGTGGTAAAGAATCTTGCAATCTACTAGATATAATCAAATCTTAAATACACGAAGAATATTTATAATCAAATACAATTTATTAAACCTAGAAAATTAACTGCTTATTTTTACATTTGATCTAACTTGACCTCTCTAGGTTAATTTGAAGTCCAAGAAAAAAATCCCAATAAAATATACTTACAGGCAATTTTTTATCAGGAATATTCTATGTATGTGTACTTATCACTATAGCAAGATTATTTTATTAGATTAAATTAATCTCTTCATCTTTATTTATGAAAAGTGACCCACCCCAAGTAGTTTGTTTAGATTGTGTCCCATTTTTCAAAGACTGTTAATTTAGACCTGGTGGTAAAGAATCTTGCAATCTACTAGATATAATCAAATCTTAAATACACGAAGAATATTTATAATCAAATACAATTTATTAAACCTAGAAAATTAACTGCTTATTTTTACATTTGATCTAACTTGACCTCTCTAGGTTAATTTGAAGTCCAAGAAAAAAATCGCAATAAAATATACTTACAGGCAATTTTTTATCAGGAATATTCTATGTATGTGTACTTATCACTATAGCAAGGTTATTTTATTAGATTAAATTAATCTCTTCATCTTTATTTATGAAAAGTGACTGGCACTAGAATAGATCATAAACTAGGGAACTTATATGTAATTTCAAAAATGAAGAATGTCTTATATTTCAGTTCCTTTTCCAAATGAATTTTATCACACAGGGGAGCATATGGTCACTGGACTTTTCCCCCAAAGTTTGAAGCAGAGTCCAAGAGAAATATTCAGTTTCCTGATATATGTGCTTTAAATTTGGGCTCAAGACTCAAAAACTTGTAGATAAGTATTGTATAACTCTTTTTAATAATATCTAGGATAGATATTTCAACCCAAAAACCAAATATTTTTTTTTGATACAGAACAAATTCTGTTTGAGAATCAACTGTTTTAAACAGTTTAAAAAAATAAAAAAAATAGCACCGACACTCGATCCATATCGATATGAAATATTTGAAATTTGAATATTTCTATAGTGCATAATTCCATAACCTTCAACCTATAGGGACATGTCAAATACTACCAGGTACTCATTTATATATACAATAGAAGATATCATATATAATAAATGGGCATCACAGTATATATATATTTTGCTGCACACTTAATAAGCATGTGACATATCCCTGTAACCCACATCTAATTATAGGTACGTAGTGGGATTATTATTGGAAGCCAATATCAACACATCCAACTATAATACAGTACTTTAAAACAAGAGCCCCATGGGCCTAACAGGTCACCTGAGTTGTAATGCAATTGTTATTTGTTGTTGTGATATGACAAAAACAAATAATACATATGTAAAGCAGTGAATTTTGCCCCTCCC